TTTTAGTGGTAAATTTCTTTGGGTAATTACTGAAGAGAAAAATCAGTGACATGCAGCTTTTATATCTTCAGATGCTTTTGACAGATTTTGAAGATAATATATTTATATATTCATATAGATAGATATTTGCTATATATTTTCAATTTTTTGGGTACCTGAGCTCTTAGACCCTGCCTAACTTCATCCTAAATACCGAAGTGTGACCTTCAAAACCTGTTGTGAGTGCTTTCCCAGCCCTGGGGTAGCCATCTCTCCTGCAGAGCTGCTTTTTCAATGTGAAGTGCTCCTTACAGCATCCCTAGTTCTGCCTTGTGGATGTTTGACAATGCCTGCCCTAGTAGTTCAACCTGGGCTGCAGCATCCCTAGATATTCCTGAACCCCTTATTCATAATTATCCCTAGATAATCCTCAATTTCCTGACTGGAAAAGCAGAGTGAGGGCATGCTTAGCATCACACATGTTGGCTCTACTTTAACCACTGAGTAGTTCAGTGATAGCAGACTGAGTCCTGATGTAACACAGATTTTATTCCCTTGAGTTTGATTTCATGGCTAATAGTCAGCAGACAAGGAGTCACAGCCCTCTTGTGTGATTAAGCAATAATGTCTCCATTCCATTCTCCCACACCTTTCCCAGAAGGACCAGAAAACGCTCAGCCCAATACTTGATGCTGCTTGCACTGTTGTCTTGGAGTGATAAAATCTTTCTCCTTAAAAAAAAAAAAAATAAAAGCGGGTTGTCATGTGAGGAATCCCTCTGGGTTTCTGTAAGACAGAAATAAATCCAGTAGCACAGAACTCCAGTAGGATATTTCGGGCAGGATTTAGAGAACATTCCTGCCTTTAGCGTTTCCTGTGAATACCACACTAAAATAAACACGTTTTAAAACAATGCATGTGAGTGTTGTAGGTGAGCCCTTCCGGAAGCTGGTTGTTAACAGGCGATTGTCTAATGAGCGCTGATGTCATTGCTCTGCACTTGTGCGAGCTGGTTGTAAACACAGAGTGGTTCAACCGAGAAACCAGCTTCCTGAAGATTAATTGTGACAGTGATGTATGGAATATGTAAATAGCACTAATCAGAGGTGCCGGCCATGTAACCACGGGACAGGCAGGAAATGAACACAGCTGAGAACTTTGCAGACTCACTTTCTTATTCTGACCTCTCCAAAGACATAATAAATGAATTCAGCTTAGCACGGATGTAAACACTTTCCACAGCAGAAGTTCTGATAAAACTACAAAGATTCCCAAGCCTGCACCAAGCCTTGAGTTTTCACCACGGACTCCTTACAAAGTTCTTTTGAGATCCCTGACTGACAGACCCCAAATGCAAAGTGTTATGTTCCTATTGTCAGTAACACATATCTGAAACAATGCAACTTTGTTTCCTTCCTTATAAACATCAGCAACAAACAGGGGTTTACAATGTGAACTATGTGCAGGTGTTGCAATGCTTCTCTTTCACTAACTCTGAAGTATCCCATGTGCCAAACTCCTCCAATAGGATGAAACTTTTAAGTGCATCACTAAACAAATTCACTGAATTAGCAGACTGCAAGATCCTCTACTTGAGATTTCCAATAAAACTATTTTACTTTTGGAATTGCTTCATAGGCAAAAGATAAACAGAACAACCACACGTTGGATCATATAATTATTAAATTGTAGGTCCAATTACGGTTTCCAATAAGGAATAAACAACATAAATATTGTGGAGTGCTAAATTGTTAAGAAGGTGGTGAAGAGCAGAGTTATTTATTAAAACCAAATTAATTCAAAATATGTAATTTTAATTTACAAATTTTTAAATCCCTTTACACGAAAAAGGAATACAGAAATTCATCTTTTCAGCCCATGCTCTTCTGTGAAGTTTCTTTCCATGCCTATTTCCTTACAGAACTCTAAGGAACCTATCTTGGGTTGATTTGTTTGTTTGTTTGTTTGCTTTTCTTCCCACAAAGATGAATATTGCTTCCCTTCAGCACAAACCTAACCCAACAAAAGCCATACTGGTAAGATTGGATCTGAATAAGAACAGTGACGGAGCTTGGCTGTGGAGGAACCTGGGTAGTGCCAGAACATGAGCAGAGACGTGAAGGATGAAAAGTTTACACTTACCTGACAAGCAAGGAAAGTAGCTTGGAGAGAGATGCAGCAGGATTACTGACAAAGGAGAACTCCCCATTGTGCTCTCGTTCTTTGTGCTGAGCTGAACAGCTCAGTGGGGGCTGCACTTCTTTCAGCTGAACTGAAAGGCTGAGCCTTTCAGTGCCTTCCTTTAAAAAAGAAACAAGACATACCCAGTGTATAGTACAATGCCCTTATTGCTAACAGTATCAGTCAGTATTTCTTTCACAGCAGGCAGCTATTGTGTCTGTAGAAACCAAGCATGACTTGATCATCAGCTGTGACAGGACCTTATAAACAGGTACAGAAGCCAGTGCAGACACTTTTCAACTGAAGAACAGGCCCAAAGGGATCAGGACATCATCTCAAGGAACTTCCTGCACTTTATGATCTATTCAATTTTACTTTTGCGTCACATAAATATTGTTCTGCAAAAACATTTTGTATTCATCTTGAGAAATGTGTTTATTCTTTTCTACAAGTAACAAATCATTAAGTCAATAATGTTCTCACATTACAGAGATGATCTTGATTTAAGGGCTTAAAAATCAGTAGTCTTCTTCCCCAAAGATTTGTGGATATATTTCAGTGGTTAGAGAAATGGTTGAGAATCAGGACATTTAGTTCCCATCACAAATTTCTTTAGAGATTTCTAGGTCTCTAGTCATGTTATCAACATAATATTCTTGGTCTGCTTTTTCTGGCTTAAAATAACTTATTCGTTTTTCTATTTCGTCATCTTGCAGTATCCAAAATGGCCCAGAAGCATTTACAGGGTCATTAATACTGTTGCTATAACTACTGTAGCCTGCAGCGCAAAACAGAAATGCTTTTTAGCACCAGCACCATCCCTGACAAAACACAGGCTGCCTTGGGTGTAATTTGGCTACTTCATGGCCTAGATTTAATATTAGTTTTCTATTAATGGGGGAAAAAAAGTAGGGGAGCGGGGGGTGGGGGAGGAGTTCTTTGCGATTATTCCCTTTCTCTCCCCACTCTTCCAGATTTCCTAATGAATTCTCAGGAGATGCACAGCACACTGCTGCATTCGGGACTGATGCTATTGCCACAGTGCAGTACAGCAATATTTCAAGCACCTGAGGCATAGCACCTGTTGCTTTGGGGTCACTGAACAATGTGTTGGACAGGCCATTCAGATGTTCTCAGGGATGAGCCCATCATTGATGGGTGCTGAAAGAGATGACACAGCTGCTCATTCCCGTCTATAAGTTACCTGGTACAGTGGCAATGCCACCATAATTCACTTCTGAGTGATGTTCCAAATCTTTCTTAAATCAGCTTATATGAACTACTGAGGCTACAATTAATGACATTTTTCAGGAACTGAAATCACCAGGTTATAAAATTATGGCAGACGAACATAGACAGCATTATATACACACAAAAGGTAAAAAAAGCTCACGTGACTACCACTGTTGCAAAAAAGTGAAATAAAATCATGCAGTCTATCTACTTATCAGTAAAAGGCAGAATAAATGATTAAACACAGCTGTGGTTAAAGCCAGTTTAAAATAAGCATGATGTGATATAAAGCCTACTCTGAAACTGAAAATGAAGTTCAAACCATAACCCTGCTCCTTAAAGGTTCTTGGGTTACAAAAGCAGTCGTTCACTGAGTATTTCCCATTCAGTCTGGTTTTAAAATTTCTATCACATATGTAGCACATGTGAGTTTTATTTCAGTTTTTTGCTCTTAAAAAAACAGGATAGATAACAGCTTCTTTTTCTAATGTTTCACAAATTTGGAGTCCCAGCAGAGTTGTTGGGTTTTTTTGTTTATTTTGAATATTAATACCTCCCATCCTCCTTAGCTCTGCAAGCCACAGGAAATAGATCACAGTGGACTCTCATCAGAACTTACCAATGCTGCAGCAGTTCTGTAGAACTCGAGAAAATTATTGGAGGTGATGAGGTCATGTCTTCTACCCAAGGCTCAGTGTCTTACCTGAATCATCAAAATGAGACATTGGCACTAAAAAAAAAAAGGAGAACTATTTAATTCTTAATCAATTAACTACTGCATAATTTTAATCTTTTCCAGCACCTCATTCAGTTAACACTGAGGAGGTTTCTTTAGTAGATGTGCTGTTCCTATGACATCTCCAACACAAATTGAACTTAAAACCATGAAACTTAATTGACATCAAACTTGTTTGTGAAGAAGTAATTTGTGTTGATCAGCTTACAACATAAATACATTTTTGCATTATGCGAACTGAATTGAGAATTTTTGGGTTATTTACCATCAAAATAATAATTTAAAAAATCACATATTTTTGTTCTGAACTAAAGACTTTTTTTATCCTGACTGTGAGGTTGCAAGTAAAAATAAATCCACACATAGAGAGATCTTTTAGTGTACAAACTTGAAATTAAAAGTTTCTGAAGAATGGTGCAAAAATTAAAATCTCTGCTTGCAAAATACATGATCAACCACAGCTTCATCTGGGTGTTGCAGGAGATGCTGAGAAACCCTGAGTTTCAAGTCAGCATGCTGCAGATGGAGCTAATTCTGTGTCCAGCACATGGCACCTGAGCTGTGGAGAGTAGTTTAAGGCCAGATGGAAGCTCTCTAAGAGCTTAAGAGGATGTTGTACACTGTTTTATGCAACATTATTGTCATTAGAGTTAATTTTAGAGAAACTACACCACACTATGTACAGTTCTTACAGGTGTTTGGGGGCAAATGCTGGTGTCACCCTAAGCCTAGTAGAACATCAGGTCCCAGAAGCTCCCAGAGCTGCTCTCTGGCTGTGGTTTGTCGGCGTGAGCGACGGACATTTTGCAAAGTTGCAACCTCACTTCCCTAAATGACGAATGTAAAACCAGAACTCTACTTAAAGCGTAGTGTACGTGCAGCTGCAGTGGCAGTGAAGGTGGAGAACCACCTTCTTCCCACCACCTCCTCTGCAAGCTGCACCGTTTCCTACTGGGGGCAGCTCCGGGCGGGTGCAGCATGTGAGAGCCCCCCCAGGCACATCAGCTGCACCAGGTGCCACCACTGCAAGGGAGCAAGAGAACCATTTTCGGAAGCATTTTTAGAGGAAGATGGAGAACCCACTTCTTTTATTCCCCCAGCTGAACATTTCTGCTTCAAAGGATAAATCCTATTACAAAGTCATGAAATCGGTGATTAAAGAAGAGCCACACAAAGCAAGCAAACCTGGGTAAGTTTTCGGGTCATGCCGAAACCTCTGAGTGTTCTGTTTACATAAAGGTTTCCTCTAACACAGCTTGTGGGTATGAATTTAGGGCACAGGTAATTTTATTTTTGACACACATATGAAAACTCATCAACTGCAACTCTAGAAACTGTGTACATAAAATATTAACTCATTGCAGAAGTATTTTTTTTTTAAGAACAAGAAACAAATCAAATAATGGTCTAAGCAAACTAGGAAAGGGAGGTTGGAAGAAGTTCTGAGAAATGCTGAATATGATCTGGGAAGGTTTCTTTTCAAAAATTTGAAATGACAGGAAGCAACACTTCCTTTTTTCTTTATGAAACATTAAAAGTAGAAGATGCTGAGCCAACTGTTTGCGTTCTCTAATGGGAAATTTCGCCCCTTCCTCTTTAAAATAAATTAAAAGCATGCTGAAAACAAAAGGATTTTCATTTCTTTTCACCTCATATGTGAATTTGTGCTAAGCTGTAAAGAAAAAATAATTAATGGGAATAATATATGTAGGAGAAGCAATATCAACATTACTGTAAGTGAAAATAGCAGGATCTATGATGCAGAAACAGAGATAATAGTCAAAGGAAATGTTTGAGGGGGAATAAAGAACTTTCAAAAAGGTTTCTTGAAAAGCTTCTCCAAATCTGTTGTAGAGCTAAGCAGAAGAGAAATAGGCTGAGCCTGCTCCTGCAGAAACCTGAATTCCATGAAAGTGACCATCTTGGTAAACCTGGAAACATGGCAAAACCAGCAAGGTAAGCATTATAAATGACTGAGCTGATGGGGATTCCTTCCAAGAAGTGCCTGTGTGACTCAGAACATTTCCTGCATCTATGTGTGTGCGTTCAGACTCGGCAGAGTAATGCTTTCTAGACCTATTTAATTTGAAAGTTACCAATCTAATCCAAGCATACACACACTATAGAAATATCTGCAACACATCAAGGTAACTCACCACTAGTGTTTTCACACCACTGGTCCCCACAGACTTGGAGATACATTTAAACCTTTACTTATGCCAACAGCATTTGTCTTTGTTTTAGTCCACTGACTAAGCATCAACTCAGAAATGCAGCTGACAAATTACTGCTTGCAGCAAAATGATACATCGCCCGGCAAAGCAGGTTTTCCAAAGAATTCTGTGTTGTACAGATGCCCTATGCATGTTACATTCTTAATGCATAGTTCCTCAGTAATTGCAGTAATTGGTTGAATAATCTTGTCTCCAAAATTCATACTGATGCTTATACACTGTGGTAATATTGTCTTTGTTATAATGTTTTCATAAAGATGCAGGGTAAATTCTTGGTTTTATTGACTTCAGCAACAGTTTAGTTTCTGACTTCAATGGGGTACCAAGATCTCACCAATATATTAAGAATTGCACTTTTAGGTCCTGACTAAGAAGAAGGAACATGTAAAGAAATGCAACTCCATGGCCTAAAAAATTTGCTGCCACTTTCTTCCTATCACAGATCATTTCAGAACGTTTCAGTGCTTACCATGCTCTTTTGTCTTGATGAACCTTGTTTAAACAGTTCCTATATTTTGGGCCAAGCTGCCTGCTTTGACCAGAACTGCTTCTTACAAGTTATGGGCACACAGTAGAAATCACATAAAGGCCCAAACTCTCCTTCTAGAACCCATGAAAAAGTGGCTGAGAAGGTGGTATCTAAACGCTTGCACCCATGCACCTGGATAACTAGGCAGTTTGTTGCTCACATTTGGAAATATCCCACCCATCTCAGTTCCAGACATGTAAAACCATGCTCAGATTGCATCTAAAAAGAGGGAGCACAGCTGCTGTGCAGTCTGTATGCAGACAGTACTCATTACCCAGGGTATTTCATACAAACACACAGCCATCACTGCATTCTTATAATCTACAAAAAGGCACTTTCAGAGGAACATACAGTAGCAACAATAATTCTTGGAAGAATTCCCCCCTTTTAACAGACCATCACTCCCTCACTCAGCCAGCTACCTTTTACCATGTTACTTCAGATAGGTGCCTGACTAACAGATTCAGTTCTTGTATAGAAGAGATTCTGTTCTAGTATAGAAGAGAAACTTGCAGATTTTTGCTGGTCTTTATATACAGATTAGAGAGAAGTGACAATTATTTTTGCCAACAATGGAAAAAAACCACAACCAAAAAAAACAAAAAAGAAAATTCCTCTTTTTCAAATCATAAAGTGAGATAAAATCTTGAGATTTTTTAAAGTAATTTACTGAGCTTTCATGATTTCTATCCTTCACGGGGAGTTACTAACACAAGTAGAAAGAGAATTAATGAAGCACTGCAGATGGACAGTGGGGTAATAGTAGGTATAGCCTGTAATCTGTTAGTTTAAACTAGTTTCTTCTCATATTTAGAAAGTGGTAAAGCTGAACAAATCTTGGTTTCTGTCCATTATTGCACAAACTCATTGCTGCACCCAGGTTTTGGGGATCTGTGAGGCTACTGGGCTGATGCACATTCTGAAGGAGAAACGGAGAAACAGAAACTTGCATTAGGAGTTTCCAAACGCGGCAAAGAACCTCTACAGCATTCCATGCAGTTGTGGACTGAGTATATGGTCTGAAGTCATAAGGCTTTATCTTCCACTATGACCAAAATAATTTTTATAGTTATAGGAACCCACAGTTACCAGACTTACCAGTCCACACAGTTCAGAGAACCACACTTTTTGTACTTCTCATAACTAACAAATTCTGTAGGAGAGTGAGGTCTCATTTTCCCTGACTCCAGAATTCCCCTACTTTACTAGCCTATGCTCACTTCTTGAATTGCACTTCTCCAGCATTTGTACCTCTCCTCAAGAACTGTTTTTCTCTCCTTGGTTAAAAATTCCCTTCCTGTAAGCAATGACTTCAGCTAGGAGACATGTGACACCTATTAAAATAATAATTAAAAAAAAATCCTCCTTTTGAGTTTTATGCAAAACTAAGGTCATTACTGGCTTAAATTCCTTCCCAAAGTGATTGGAATTCCCTTTCATCTAAACTTCATGTGCCTACAGTTTTTGCCAAGGGAGCCCAAACTGTGAATCAGGCAACAGAACAGCAAAACTCCATGAGGAAGGGAGAATCATATTCCAGAAGTGTTCAGTCCATAACTAGTTGTTCTAACCAACTAATCACGGACAAGTTGCTTATTGATACTTTCCATGTACTGTGCTTTGTCCTCAAATGAAAATGGTTCTAAATATTAATATTCAAAAAGCAGTTGATAGATTGACTTCACCTTCAGGCTTAGAACTTAAGTCCTAGTCCTAGCATGATACAGTTCACCTCCTGCTTACTCCAGTTCTGGTCTACTAAAAATCCAAGTACTGTCCAGATGTGCATTCAGGGTTAGTCTACACAAAACCAAAAAATGATTTCTCCAAAACTGTATTTATGTGAATGGAATGAGGTGGTTTTTTCCTTTCTTCACTGTTCTCTAGGGGAGAGTTTTTGAAATCAAAGTGAAATATGTGCATCTTGACACACTTGATGAAGAATATGAGGAGTTTTATAAACAAGGCACAGTGTCTCAGAGTAACATGACATCTGAAATATGTTTGTGGTAAACAAACCAGTCTATGTGTGGTATTAACCCAGAAGGCTAACACCTAAACCATATCGCTGCAACTCTGTCTTCAGGCTATTGAATTTTCCATATTTCATCAGAAGCAGACTGTGGTAACACAGCCTCAGAGTGAGGGCATTCAAAACCACACTTCTGCACAAGCATTTCTTAAGTTTCAATAGCTGACAGACTTGGGTCCCTTAGGAGTTTTACAATACCGCATAATCTCAATTCCCTTAAAGATTGGTAGAGCAATGCAAACGCCAAAGCAAAAAAAAAAAATCTTTGCTCTGATGTTTTTTTTAAAAAGGGGAAAAGAAATACAACTCTGCAGGAAAAAAGGTCAGAAAAAAAATTAAAGGAAATGTTTCTCAAGTCCCCAAGAGAATGAGTTCCTTTAGTAATGTGATCTAATCAAAGGCTCTGTGAAACAATCCTGAGCCGTAAGGGTAACTGATAACATGTTACACAGCTTCCTAAATACACAGTATACACAATTCTAAAAAATCCCTTTCTGTGTCTTAAGCAGTGTGTCTCCTGAAGAAGCAGTGAAATGGGGAGAATCTTTTGACAAACTGCTTTCTGAGAAAGGTTAGTAGTTTTTTTTCCTCTCTGTGCAGAGTGTTAGGATGGAAAAGTGATGGAAAATGATGGAAAATTGATGGAAAATGATGGAAAATTGATG